AAGGAGCTGCCGGCTCCAGGCTAGCGGACCCGCACCATGCCCCGCATCGATGCGGACCTCAAGCTGGACTTCAAGGATGTCCTCCTGCGACCCAAGCGCAGCAGCCTCAAGAGCCGAGCAGAGGTGGGACGCTCCCAACGCCGCCTTGGGGTGGGCCGGCTTCTGGGTGGCCCAGGGCAGGTGGTGGGAGGAGGAGCAATGTGGCAATACCTCGCCTGCTTTTCTGGGTCTGAGGATGGCTGGGGCGCGACCTGGGCAAAGGGAAAGCCAGCTGGTTCCCTGCCAGGACCAGAGGTGTCCTCAGGGGGCCCAGCTGGGGCCTAGCATTCTAAAGCTTCGGTTGGGTGGGCCGGGAAGTCCATGTTAGAGCCAGACCGCAGAGGAGCAAGATCAAGTGGCCCAATGAGGAGAGAGAATGGGGAGGCAGGACGGGTGCATTTAGGGGGAAAAGGACACAGTGGAGCCAGATCATAAAAGGAGAGGAGAAACAACGGAAGAGACTTGTGATTTTGACGCTGCTTCTTAGTGTAGAAAACTGCTATTGGCTTAGTGTCAGATCTAACAGTAGAATTTCTTTAAAATCTTTGAAAAACAGGGAAACTTCAGGGTTTACTCTCCGCGTTTCAGTGGCCTTGCTGGGAGGGAGGCTGGGACCCGTGCCTAGTGGCACCCTCCTTACTGGACAGCTGCCCGGTCCTAGCGAAGCGGAAAGCACTGGGGTGCGGGCGTGGGGTTGCGGCGGGGGCGGGGGCAAACTGGATCAAAGCTTGAAGAACAGGTGGAGACTGGACTGGAAATAGCCTCGGTGTGGGGGTTGGGATGCCCCTACTGGTGAGGAGGAAGGTCAAACTTTGAAGGTTAAACTAGCTGCACAGAAAGGCAGAGTCCCCCAGAGTGGTGTGTGCTGGTGACCATGGCTTTGCCTGGTCTGCCAAGAGCTAAAGGAGGTGAGGGAGCTGGACTGGGCCTAAAGGCTGCGGCCACAGGAGTAAACAGGAGGAGGCTGGGCCAGCATGCTGTTCCTTACACCCCCGTCTAAAGACCATAAATAAATCGGCGGGCTGCCCACCAATGCCCCAGCTCAACTGCAGTGCCTGGCGCTGCCCACCGCGGGCTTGTTTGGATTAGGGAGGCCTCCTGCTTTAGCCAAGGACCAGAACCAAGTCACCTTCTCAGTCTCAAGCGGGAGGGCTGGTGGGCTGCGGCCAGAGAGGATGGAATAGGCAGGAGAGGAATGGTTAACCCTTGTCATGCTGGCCAGTTGGGGGACTGCGCCTGTTCCTCATGTTCATTCACGTGCTAAAGAGGGGGCAGACTTTAAAGAATAAACGGTTTGCACAGCCAGCCTGGGCTTCCCTAAGTATAAGCTGTGGTCAGTACCTAAGACCAGACTAAGACAAGATGTAGGGATTCTAGGCAGGCTAATAATTTGGTGTTCTCAATAGCCTCTAAATCAGCGGTTCTCAACCTGTGGGTCGCAACCCTTTTGGCGGTCGAACGACCCTTTTGCAGGGGTCGCCTAAGACCATCCTGCATATCAGATATTTACATTACGATTCATAACAGCAGTAACATTACAGTGATGAAGTAGCAACGAAAATAATTTTATGGTTGGGTCACAACATGAGGAACTGTATTTAAAGGGCCAGAAGGTTGAGAACCACTGCTCTAAATATTTGTTCAGAATTCACTTAGTAGAGAGGAACTTTTAAGAAAAATTATATTTTTGAAACAAGGATATATTGTATGTATTTTCTGAACCAGGAAACATCTTGAGAAAGGAAAACATTTAGAATTTATGTAATAGAATGAATTACTCTT